GATAAATAAATGTTACCAATTATTTTAATATTTGAGACGAATTACAATCATGCTACTTACAATGTGTAAACATTTTTAAGATCTCTGAAAAATTGATTCAGCCCATTTTAAAACTAATTAAATCCTTGTTTTTGGATTGATGAACTCAATGACTTAAGGCYATTAAAGGATCTGCAGGAACCCTGAAGATGACAGGATGGCAGCTTAACTTCAAGTATTATTGAAGTCAGTTGCTGAAAATTCTGTTTTTTTTTCTTTCATTTTGCAATATACATTGCAGGGTTAGAAAATAAAATCCCGTCAGTTTTTTAAGTATTGTGMAGCCCTAATGTGAGCCCAATGGCTGCAGGATGCTCAGAGCAACTAATGCTAACTTTAATCCTCTGAACTTGTTTAATCACTGGAAACAACTGATGTAAACCGGAGTAAGAGGAAAGCCAGAAAAGGTMGATTGAGATCACGTCGGCTACATGTAAGTGCAGTTGTCATCTATTAATCGCCATATTAATCGTTATCAGCTAAATGCCACCATTAGTCATGATAAATTATTTTGCTAATATCCTACAACCCTACTGTACTCGCTAAAAAGTAATTTTTTTAAATTGTGATCACTCAAAACTGCAGCGACAGCTCAGTCCAGTCCAGTGAGATACCACCTYAAGACAACATCCTATCTCCAAAGTTTCAGAGTTGTCCATGCAAACAATATTCMACAACCCTCTCCACAATGTCACTGGAGTGTTGGGGGATCGCTGGAATARCACATAAATTTGTACCAAAGAAAGCCAAAGAAGTGATGAACGGAGAGGTGTGGAAAAGGGAGACCAAGCAAAAGCGAAACGAGGCGACAAAAAGAGGCGGACGAGGAGAGAATGCATTTATCTTATTGAAGCGCGGGACTCATTTAGACGGGTTTTCCATATGCTGTCAGTTCGGGCAGGACGGACAGCTTTAAGGAATGGACTGTGTGAAAGACAAGTCGTTTGACCATGACTCAGGAATGTGTGCAAACRCTGGTGTGTGTGCATGTGTGTGCATGTGTGTGTGTGTGTGTGAACGCTCATCTTTAAACACATACCAACATACGCATTCTATACCAACCAAGGCAAACACGATTCCCCGGGGGGGCGAGAAGAATTTGAGTGTGTATGTCTTCAACTCGATGACTACACTGGTCACCACCATGCGTGCCGCTCATWCTGAACCAAACAACTGAGAAAGCATGACAGAGGACTCCCTTTTCTTAATGATAGCCTTCAGATTGTGTGATTCTATTCAGAAAGGCGACTCCATTCATCAGCCACTCTCAGAATGAATGTACCATTAAAATTCCTCAATGGCAATTAACAAATTTGTGCTGAAAATTCATTATTTTTCTTTCAACACATCTGCTTCTACATCCACCAAAAACTCTAGTTTAATTAGTCCTATTTTACCTACTTTGCTTACCCTCATTCAATCAATTTATAAAATCTGTTAAACTCTTTAGCTGCTGTGCCCCACCTTTTTTTTTCCCTTTTCTTTTAATCATAACGTAAAACATCACTCATTATTCTTAGGTGTCAGCCTCTTTCCCTTCTCGGCTCRTTGGTGTTAATAAACGGTAATTAAGCTGGACAGTAATTGAGCAGTTTTCACTGAAAAGTGCTCCCACAGAGTGAGGGATCATGACAGAAGACTTGTGAGCTGAACAGACTGATATATTTCTCTCCCCTCTCTTTAAAAACCTATTCTGCTTTTTCATTTTCTTTGCTTTTTATGCGTCAGGTGCAGAGCTTAAATTAAAACGAGAAGGCACAATTTTCATTTAGAAGAATCTAATCTTACACGACGACGCCGATGCTGGCAGATTTGAATGAAAAACAAAGCCACTCTTCACTATTATACAAATTAAAAATTAATTAAATGAGCCAAAAATTAGTTATTTCTATCTTAATATTTTACAACTTCTACATTAAAACACACCAGGATTTGTATAAAAGAATCATTCAATCCACACCGTATCACCTGAATTTTTGACAGTGACACTTACAGACCCAATAAAGTTAAAAAGCTGCGACTCGCAGCACGTCTGCTTCAAAACGCTCTGCAGCTCCGGTCTTTTCACAAGCGCTAAGTTTGGATCCGACATTTCAAACGTGAGTGCTGTGAAGTGTTCTTTTATTACCACTGTATTTCAGCTTACAGGTGACACTTTTTTTTTTCTTTGTGCTGCCCGTTTTTAAAACATAATGCACCCAACAAATCTACCTCGAGACTCGAGGRTTCGGTCCTCGGGGCACCAGAAGATGTGGTTTGGTTAAGTGGTGCAACACAACTCTGTAACAGCCCGAGCGGCTGCAAAACCACCAAGAGAGACACCTGCAGGAGCACGGTTTCATGAGATTTAACCAATCTTATCTAGCTGATACGTGCAGCTGGAGCACAAAAACTTAAACTCCAAATCGATTTTTCTTACAGCTTTTCAGGCTTGATGTTTTAACAAAACCACTTTAACGCAACAACTTCCACATTTTTAATTCCTGTCTGAATATTTCACAGTAAGTGCTGCAGTTTCCTACTGACTGCCTTGACTTTTCATRGCTATTAATCCTATTTTTATTTAGTGGTTTCAATGGCTTTGTATGTGCATCTACATGCCTGCATTTAAGTTGTATCCATTACAAAAAAATACGTGCCTTTTTTTAGCAGCTGCTCAAGTTTTTGATGACTTTATTTGTTTGAGAGTTGTGTCTTAGCAGGGCAGCAACAATTAGTCGACTAATCGATGATGGTTGCATTTTATTGTCGGTGCTAGTGTTGGGCAAAATCATATCGTGAGAAATTAATCGTCAGAAACACTTAAATCGATTATTTTTTGGCCCTTGATAATTAATGCAATTAATTCCACCAGGCAGACTGATTGGAGATTTCCCCGGTCAGTCCAATGGGTTCTCCTCTATGCTTCAAATCTGACAAACATTTAAAGTTCTGTAATTTATGTATCTATCATAACTTTGGTTTTACTTGGCCTATCAACACAATTTAAAAACGGATGTATAGCCTGAAGTCTGTGCTTTATAATTTGAATTTGGAACTGATTTTTACGGAGAGAAAATCTTTCCCACAGTGATTTAAATTGGTCATGTGAATAGGCCATGCAGGCGTTCAGGGACTCCATGGGATTATTAGTCATATTAATTGTTATCGGCTAAATTTCAAAATTAATCTGGATTAATTATTTTTTTGCCAATATCAGCCAACCCCAGTCGACACTTCATGTTATTTATCTGTAATTCAATAAATGAACTGCAGGAGGTAGATTTGCTTCTATTGTCTGCRGTTGCATTGTTTACTAATGAAGGA